TATGGATCTTTGTTGAGCGTCATTATCCAATAAATAAAAGCTATCCCGGTTAATAACATTAATATAGGGCGGTAAAAAATCATGTTAAATTTTAAAAAAATTGTGTAGATAGCGCGTCGATTTTTTTCATGATAATACCCCCCTTTCTACCATCAGAGGGAGAAAGCGCACGCTCAAGAGAACTGGGTCAACCTTGGTAATAAGTGTATTAACTTTTGCACATATGGTGTTATTGCCCATTCGCGATTTCACCTTTTTCCCGGAATTCAGAAAAACCTGAATTGTGCAAGTTCAGTGATGATGGTCTTTATTATCCCATGGGTCTTGTTACGACATGCTTGGATGGAAGCTGGAAATGTATCCATACCTAGAACTCCTCGACACGATTTCCAGGGCAAAGTTTATCTATCTGTTTAAAATTCTGATAAATTTCAAAAAAAAACTCATTCTTCAATTATAAGACGCAAATTTAAAAGATTAATTTTATTTGAATATAAAAATTGTAAGAATAAAATATTCGAAATTTTGACAATGAGATAGAGTATAAAGTCGTTTAAAGCATGACTACATAAGCTTTATAAACGATGTGAATGGGTTTTTGTCCTGGTATTGAAAATTATTCTAACGAAATCACATGTAAACATAATATATATAAAAAGATAAATGACTAAATATTATTTTCTGTTTGTAAATATATATGTCCAAATGAAAAACTTGACGCTTATTCAAGCTATTCAATTAATTATTTCTTTTTATAGAATAATAAATGAAAACACACTTCAAAATTTTTAATATTTATGTCTCTTGGATGATCGTTTTCTATCATAATTATCGTAACGAGATTGATAACGTTGTCTTGATGACGATGACGATGATGATGATTGTCGAGATTGGTATTCTTGGTAATATTCTTGACGATGTTCATGGCGATGTTCTTTATTATGATTATGATGTTGCTTTTGCTGTTGTTCTTGATAATGATGTTGCTTTTGCTGCTGTTCTTGATGATGGTGTTCTTTTTGATGATGCTCTTGATGATGATCTTGATGATGTGTTGATATTTGATTTTGCACAACTTGCTGTTGTTGTGAAGAATGTGGAACAAAAGTTTGCATTGGTTGTGGCGTAGTTTGAGAATAGTATTGATCGTACGAAGGATATGCAGGTGGAGGTTGTTGGTGTGGTGTTTGTGACGGAATAGTTTGAAGCCCAGGTGAACTATGATGTGTTGGTATAAATGGGTGTTGATTATTTTGTAGTGGCATAGCAGTTTGATATTGAGGTGAGTACGGGTTTGTATATTGCTGTACTTGTGGTTGTGATGATGGTATAGAAATTTGAGATTGATTAAAAGGTATAGGCGGAGGAGGTAATGGATTATTGAATGGTGATGGTTGAGCATTATAATGACCAGTTGTTGCTGACAAATTCTGTGCTGGTAAGTTCTGTGGTGCTATGTTTTGCATATTTGAATTTGCCAACAAACTTTGAAAAAATCCGGTAAATTGTCCATTAGGTGCTGACATAATCGGCATATTATTTGTGTAGGAAGGCTGTGGTTGTTGAGAATTAGGTGGTTGTAATGACTGAGGAGCGGGATTAATAGGTGTTGGCACAACATTCTGTTGTGGTTTAATCATAGAATCTATTTCTGATTTTTCGTTTTGTTTGTTAGATTCAGAAATTGATTTGACAGATTCATGATGTGATTTTTCTTTTTTATCTGGTCTACTGCTGCTGCCACTTTTACTGACGCTATGATTCATTGGCCGTTTTAATTTACCTGATTCAGCCTCAACTATCACTAGTGCGCCTAATAATAATTTAGAGTCACGTTTCTTATCATCAGTTTTTGGTATTAAAACCTCATCGTATTCCAAAAATGTTACAACATCAGGTATTTTATCCTCGGGCTCTAGCGGTATAAGGTACAGTTCTCTAACAGCATTATAAGCATTTGCCACACGACCATAACGAACACATTGATCTTTTGGTGAGTAACGTAGATAGTTAAATATAATATCAAACTGCGGTTCATAAGCATCGTCTACTTCAAATTTAATAAAAATAACGTCTTTTGATGGTGAACACCAACAATCAATCAAATATGTATCAGCCTGTTCAACACGTGACACATGACCATTAACCCTAATAGAAGCAGTAAGATATTCATCCCAGTTTCGAACTTTATCAAGTTTCTTTGCTGCAACAAGGCTTGCCTTCCCTGAGAACCTTGCCACACCATCATAGAATAATTTACCTTTCCAAACTGTGATTGGTTCGATTATAGCATTGTTTGTTGGCTCTCCTGGTGGAGTTTTAGAAGGACTTCCGAAGGATGATGACACAGAAGGTGATAAGGCTCCAGGAGAATATGGAGGTGAGTCTAACACTTGAGGTGAATTCATAATTACATTTGATAAAATTGGCACTGGATTTTTTTTAATATTTACATTATTGTCTATTTTTTCAATATTACTATTATCAATACTATTATTATCATTATTTTTTTTATCATTACTATCATTCGAAAGAGAAATTTCTTTATTATTATCATTTTCTATATTTTCTGCAGGTTTATGATTTGATACAGCAGCTTCTTTTGATGAGTCATTAAAAGTAGTAAAGCTAGCATTAGTGATGACAATAGGAGAAGTAGTGGCAGAAGTAGTGGTAGTAGCAGGTGATATGACATCACTGCCTACACTTGTTTTTCTTTTAGGGATTAAATCTTCTAAATTTATTTTTGGTCTAGTTGGGCTAACACCAATAGAATTAGTGGATTTTGATGTCGAAGAAATTTTATCTTGCTGAGATGATAATGATGAACTGTCATTTTTTGATGAATCTAGAAAATCATCAACAATAACATATTCACCTTTATGAGTTTTTTTAATTCTAGGTCCCATATCTTCAGCTTTTAAAACAGACTGTTGCATGCTTTCTCTACGGACTTTTACCATTAATGATTTTTGTTCTGGATTAGCCAATTCTTCTGGAGTCATTTGTACTAATTTCACTGCTGGAATATCACCTTTAACAACATTTGTCAACAATTGGTCGTTTTTTGGATGTCCTAAACTTGTGTGAAGATTACGAAATTTTGATTTATAAGGTTGGCCTAACGGTTCCTTATCATTTTTTGTAGTAAAAGCATCATATATAGCCTCTTCGAGCTTTCTTGCAAGTCGTTCACCAAGTTGTGCAGGTGTATCATCAGTTTTTGGTAAGTCACCTTTTTGGTCTAAATCTTTATATTTTTTAAAAAAAATTTCTTGAAATTTTTCGGTACATAAACCTCTTAATTTGGTATCAAGATCAATTGAAGAATTTGTTGGTTTAGTTTGAATTTGTAATTTTTTAATTGAACTTTGACCTGATTTTTTAGCAATAGCAGTCTTAGTACCACTACTGCCACTACTATTATTATTAGCAGCAGAAGCACCTTGTACAATATTTACATTGGTTGATTGTAATTTACTACTACTAGGCACTAAATGTGGTTTCACATGTGAAAATTTATTTGTAATAGATTTAGAAGAAGAAGTGAATTTGGTAGAATGTACCTGACTTGGTACTTTTTTTGATTCTTTTGTTACAGGAAAAGATGACGATACAGATTTTTGTGTTTGTAGTTCAACTCCTTTAGATGTTTTACTATCTAAATTTTTACTTAGTAAATAACATATTTCACCACCACAATATGAATTCTTTTTCTGCGCAGAATTTGGACATTCCTTATTCAGACATTTAAATGATCCCTAGTTTATTAAGTATTAAAATTGTTAATTTAAATTTAAAAATAAAAAAAATAATTGAATAATCAAAGTTAAAATTCTTACGTCATCTTTATGTTTCACAATCAATAAAGCCTTTGGATCGATACCAAAAGATTCAGGCAATGAACATTCATCTATACAATTTTTTTTTTTTAAAAAAAAGATATTTTTTATATATATATATAATATTAGCCATTTGGATATGATTATATTTTTAATATAATATTGATAAACGCAATATAAAATTTCTTAAAAAAAAATAAATGAGTTGCAAAAATGACGATATGCTTGGTATTAATAGTAATGACATAGAATTGGGTTTATTTTACAAATAACATTTGAACAGTTCAAAAAAAAAAAGAAAGTAATGAAGGATTTAAAAACTTTTTTCAAAATTAAAGAATGTATTATGTTTGTTAATAAATGATAGATAATGTTCGTGAATGAAAAATAATTTATATTTCATTATACAACGATAACAATGCATTATAAACATTTATAAACATCAATATTGATTGAATTATGAATAATAAATTGATGAAATTATTTACATAATGATAAAAAAATTTTTTAAAAAAAGATGCTATATAAATATAAATATAAATATAAATAAACGGATACCTTTTAATAGACCAATATATGGATGATTTCCTTGACATTTAGGACAAATATATTTATCCATTTCTACTGCCTGTTGTTCAGTAAGGTTTACACATTCAATATGACACCTGCAGAAATAAATCACACAATCAGAGTATAAAGCAATAGAGAAAATAAGCATTAAACCAAATTTTTTAAAAAACAAAAATAAAATATGGTCAATGTATCTTTGTAAAAAAAAAAAAACAAATAAATTCTTTTTAATTATCATTCATGTGTCGCTTACCAATCATTACAGATATCACAATTAACCATTGTGCCATAAGCAGATCTAAGGCAAATACAATATTCTTCGGTTTTCCCTTTCTTTTGTTTTCTGGCTCTTGAACGAACTTCTATTCCTGGAGTGGGACGTTGTTGATTTGCAAAACGGGTTCCGTAAGAGTGTCCCTGGTGAGCTTGTTGGACTTGTTTGGTAGTGAAAGATGTTTCATTCTTATGTTCTTCTTGTGGCTGTGTTACTAACTGTTGTATTTCTTTTGGTTCTTCTTCTTCTATTTTTTGTACTTGTTCCGATTGTTCTGGTTGTTCTAATTGTTCAGTAGATTGCTCTAATTGTTGTTCTTCTTGTGACTTTGTTAAAAGAGAGGGATCTATAAAGTATTGTGTATCATTTACAGTTGGATTTATCAACATCGAATGTTCAGCAGGTACCTCTGGATTTATTAGCACCGAATTCTCGTCAATTACTGTTGAGTTCGTTAATATAGGGCCTTCATCATTATTTTGAACGGAATCAAGAAGTGTAATAAAGGCACACTGTTCTTGCATTGAGATTGATTTAAAAAAAGATATATTTATTACTATTTTTTTTTAAAATTAAAAAAAAATTTGAGTAACTGATTTTTTAAGTGATCTTCTGATCTTCAAAAAATGTGCACCAATCAATTTTATTGTCGATCTTTCTGATAGAGTTTTATTACAACCAAATTAGTCTAGAATGCTATTGTCTCGGGGTAACCTTGTATAATAATTAACTTGAAAAAAGATCTAATACTCTTTTCTATAGATTCCACAGCCTAAATAGCATCTGGGATCAAATAATATTTTTTTGATAAGATGCATGACTTGCACCTTTATTCAAAAAGAATAGGGAGAAGATGGTCCTAGAATGCTATGGATGCAATCGTTACAAACAAAGGTCAATCTTGGCTTAAATAACAAAATCAAATGTTTTTTTAGATAGATCTCACAGTCTTGTTGATTGATATTCAACAGATCCTAAAAAATTTGATCACAATTTCCATTGTATAATGAAATTATATTATTTCATCAAAGATCCTAGACCATTTATGATTATTTGGATATACTATAAGGGCAGTCTTGCTGAAATAGAATAGATCTGGAATCAAATGAAAATTTTGTTTTAATCAAAGTTGTATGTCCTGACTAGAGTTGCCTTCTGAAACTTATGAGTTTAGAACTATTTGAAATAAAAACCATTCTAAACTGGTTTAGAAAGTGAGTCCAAATTCCTAAACTGTTTGAAACTCTTAAACTGTTTTCAAATTTCCTAAACTGTTTTGAAACTCCTAAACTGTTTTGAAACTTCTAAACTGTTTCAAAACTCCTAAAAATCCCAAACCAAACAAATATGATCTGTGAATGAAGCAGAGAATTCTTATAGTGACTGGCAGTGCAAAAATAGTAAAAAATCGTCAGTTGACAATGTTTAACAAATAATAAAGCACAATGTTTTGGTATTACAAACTTTATTCTTTTATGTATGTATAAAGTAATCTCATAGATTATTGTATCAAAATATTAAAGGGCTTGGAATGTTTCTTGAAAACTTTTATATGTAGGAAGCTGAGTTTCAAGAAGTTCATAACATATAAAAATTTGGAACTTTTTAATTTTCAGCCAACACTAGTTTTGTTGATACTGGCTGCAAGTTTCACAAGTTGGATGAAACAATCTACAAGGTTAACATTTGTTCCTTCCAAATTGAGAATTGCTTTTTGTAGTAGCAACAATACAGAAGTTGCCAAGCCCAACATCATGAAAGAAACCTCTCAGACCAAGAATATGTTTCACCTTATCATTTGTAAGTAAATCTTTATGTCTTTCATAAATCTTCATTTAAATTGAAAACTTGTTATCATATAATCTTACAGATGACAAAATAAAAAATAAACAAGAAAGTAATTAATATTTAAACCTTTTCCAATGGTTTTTTGAGTTGGAGGATGGAGTTGGTGGTCTCAAACATTGAAGTCCATCTAGTTGGTGTGTATGAATGAAGTTCGCAATCTTTAATACCATATTCATCAATATATTTTCTTAATAATGCTCAAAAGTTTTTAAAAAATGGCTAATTCTGTTACATTGTTTAATGACTTTATATGGAAAGGTGTGCTCTAATTGTAATGTTTTTAAAATATAGATTATTAAACTATAAATAAGATTAAAAAAAGCCTAATTTTTAAAAAACATGCTCATAATATCTTTTGTTATCAAATTTACATAGTGTGTTATACAATTGGTATTCAAAATGAAAAGATATTTTTCAGAAATTTGTTTTCTTGCACTAAGAATTGCTGAAGCATTGTCACTACTGCAAATTTGTTTAGCTCAATTCTGGATAAAACACATTCAATTTCATCTCTTAAAATTTTTGCAGTATAACTAACGTCAGGTAATGAATAGAGATATTCTTTGTTATCTGCTCTGGTGATCATAAAATTATAAATGGAATAACCTTTAGGGTTGCTCCAACCATCAATTCCTATTTTTTAAATTGGAAAATAAGAACAAAGAATATTATATTAAATTTAATAAAATAAAAAAAACATTCAGACCCAATGTCAAGTTTATACATGCAGCCCAAGGTATCATAAAGGGGGTTACACATGTAGTAAAGGGGTGTTACACTTATGTTTTTAATAGTGAGTGTCATAATTAATTTCTACTTTCTACCATCAAAATTGGAATAATTTTGGCCATTGAAATCACCAAATCAATTTGGGCTGCATGTATAGTCAAGCTGTTAACCTTTTCTAAAATGTTATTAATTTTTATATCCACACAAACAGTTTCATCTGATAATAATTTAGTACTAAGACAATCTTGTGAAGGAGGTTTATAATTTGATCTGAGATTTTTTAACATGTTGATGAAAAAAAAGTTTTTAATTATTCTAAAGGGGAAACCACAAACTACAAAAGCCTTTAAAATTGAACAATCTATAACTCCTGCATGTTCTTTTGATAATATCTCATCTTTATCCCAAAAGTTAGCAAGTGATTGTGTATTTGCTTTATATGCTGGATTTTCTAAAGATTCATTTATACCATCTCTTTCTGCAACAATATACATATATCTTTTTTTGATCTCTTCTTTAATATATTCACAATCACATGCCAAATGGACTTGCAGTTTATTATAGAGCTCCGAACGAGTCGGGTCGGGTCGGGTCAGAGGTTCAACCCGACCCGACTCGAACTTTTAAACAGTTGACC